GTAGTTCTTTCTTCTCACCTCTGTTGTAAATTATATATGTATCAGTACACTAGGCTACTGTTATGTTCTTAAGTCATATTATAATGTTTTAGATCTACAGGTTTTGACAATAAAGAGGCAAATAAACAAAGCCTTAAGTGTGCGCGCCAACATACAAGATATTTAACTTTTTACTTGAAATACAGCTTTCTCACATTTATGGGTCTTCTACCCAAGACAATTCGTTTGGGAGCACAGGTTATCCTGAATAAATTTCTAACTTTCATACAAATTCGCCTTGTGTACTCACATTTGGAATTACAATTCCTTGCCCATCCATACAGTATTTAAATTCCCCCCCAGAGGGGTACATTTTCTGATTTCGATACAAATCACCATGACGATACAAATCACCATGATCATAACAATCAACGATAATACCTTAATGTGAAATATGTTGTAGCGGACCACAGGTAACCCAACCAGTTACCTCCGCTAATTCCTTCACTATGCCACTCTGGAACCATTCAAATAAGCAGACATCTATTCCCCCAGTAATCAGACAAAACATAGTCCTGGGTGTCAACTGATTTTATTCAGGCCATACATAGCTTTTATGCCCAGACCTCCATGGAGTTTCTGACACACAAATACAGGGTTTTCAATCCAAGGATCCTCTGTGCCTGAGAGATACTTGCGTGAGAAAAAAATATAATCTAATTATCTCTGACGAACAGAAAATCCATACAAAATTTACAGTACCCCAAAAATGCCCCCACCATACTCAGGAACCCCACAAAGAATACATCCCCGGATATCCCTGATATGATTGTATGGCATATCCAAAGATCACTCAGATCAGTTTGGTGAGACGGGAATGCCATTGAGGTAAAGTTTTGACTGGCCAGACATGAGTCGATAGCCCAAAACAGTTCCAGGGAAATAGGTGTCCTGGCTGGTCTCTATTCGGGGGTTCCTGTGCAAACAGCATGCAAGGATATCTCTTCGTTTCAGGATACAAATGCTCCCCCCGTTTGGTAGTTCATGTCTCCCAAACGTCGTTTGTATAGGTGGTTGGGAAATAGAACGGGCAGCGGTCTAATTTTTACCAGGCTTTGTGCTAGTGCCTCGCAGAAAGAGTTCCATTCACTTGACGACCAAGTACCGCTGTCCATGTTCGGGAGACAAGATAGCCACCATTCTTTTGTTGACCACATGAGTTCAGTTATATGAAATGGTGGCCACCCAGGTGCAGCATTCATTAATTACTTCCCTTGCGTTTTCGCACTTAAGTTACTGGTGTGAACGTTCTAAAGCGGTTCAGGGGTGGTCCTGAACAGAAAAAGGGTAAAATAGACTAAATGAGGGAAACACACATGAAATAGTGGTAAGTTCCGCCACACAGCTCTTAACTTAAGTGTCAGAGCACTCTGATTGGTTGGCTTGGAATCAACCAGAGTGCTCTAAATGAAACTGCAGGGAGTGGGAAACTTTATTAGCCTTTCCCCGCCCTGCGGAGCTCAGTTTGTGCGTGCCCTCACTGGGTGAAGATGGATTACTTTTTCAGCATTGGGTTGTTTATTTTCCATCAGGTTTTTTTTTTTGCCCTCTGTTTTTTATTTTATTTTAACAGTTGCAAGGGGTATTATGGACTTTTATTTATGTTTTGAGGCTGAAAAAAGATTTGGGTATCCCTAGTCACCTGGGGGAATTTACATTTAGCCCCCACTCATCGCTCATGGTTGGTGGCCAAAGGGGACAATAGATCCTCCCCATTTTCATTTTGGGCCCCCACCCGCCACTGGCTGCTCACTGTTTAGAATACATGCCCACTACTCACAGTATAGTAGTAGGGGCATGTCTACTAGTATTAGTAAATTTCTAATTTAGTAAATTTGGCTGAAAGACCCCCCTAAGGTCTGCCTTGACGTCGGCAGGCGGGCATTCCTTCCAATGGCCATTGGAGTAACTAAATGACCTCCATTTGTCGAAATATACATAGAGATTAAGGAGAGAGCGCTGGTAACTTCTTGTTCTTTGATTTTTTTTAAAGTCGACAAGCTAAGGTATTAAACTTGGGGTATTTTGACTTTTTCCATGCAACCATTTTACCACCAATCTATGCCAAATTTAAAAAATAATAATAGATTTTTTTGACACACATAGCAGTTTAAGAATACATGTACTAAGAACTAAAGGTTACTGCCAAAGAACACCCCAATATGTGTTCAGCAACATCTACTGAGTACAGTGATACCCCCTGTGCATAGGTGTGTCGGGTTCTCTGGGGGCTAAAAGACCTTATTTAGATGGTGCACATTGCAGTTTTCCAACTTGGAATTTTCTCAGCTGGTCATCATGCACCTATGTCCTATTTGGCACATTTGTGAAGCCAGCCAATGTAATTTACCCCCATCAAACCATATATTTTTGAAATGTAGACACCCCAAGGTATCTCGATTGGTGGTATTTTAACACTTTCCATGCACTAATTCCACCACCAGTCTTTTTCAAACTTTTATGAAGTCATTTCTTTGTGTTATTTTTCTCTTATAATGTTCTTTAAGCATGGATTCTCAGTTCTTGTTATGTGTTACTGACAAAGAACACCCTGTTATGTGTTTAGCAACAACTCCCAAGTACAACAGTACCCCCAATGTACAGGTTTTATGGGTTTTTGCAAACTTACATTGGTCAAATGTAGGGCATTCCCTTTTCCATGTTTGCACAGTGAAATTTGCCAGATTTATTTGCTGGGCCTATGTTGCCTTTGAGACCGTATACCAGCCCAGAAATGTAAATTAACCCCATCATGGCATACCATTTTCAAATGTAGATAACCCACGGTATTCCAAATGGGGTATTTTCAGTCTTTTGTAGTAGCCATTTAGTCACAAACGCTGGCCAAAGTTAGAGTTTGTATTTGTTTTTTGCATTTTTTTACACAAAAACTGCACTTTTACTGGTGATTTCATCGTCTTGATAGGTTTTACTGTTTTAAACACTGATATTTGTGTTCAGTGAACTCTTCCGAGTATAACAAACCTCCCACGTACAGGTTTTATGGTGTTTTTGAAATTTACAGGGTCAATATAGAGTTTGCCCAATTCCGTTTGCCAGATTGGTTTGCTGGGTCGTTTTCCTTTTGAGACCACATAATAGCCCAGGAATGTGAAATAACCCCATCATGGCATATCATTTTCAAATGTAGACAACCCAAGATATTCAAAATGGGGTGTGTCCAGTCTTTTGTAGTAGCCACTTAGTAACAAACACTGGCCAAAATTTGCATTTTTATTTGTTTTTTGCATTTTTTTTACACAAAAACTGCACTTTTACCGGTGATTTCATCATCGTGCTAACCGCGTAAATAAACAATTGAAATAATGAAAGACGTTAACTCACAGGTTTTTAGTAGAAAAAAATCTTAACTCCTTTTATTGCATGTAAACAAAACATGGACTCACAGTCTCGATTGACGTTTCAACCCCAACCTGGATCTTTCTCAAGATCGGGATCTTGTCAGTTCAGGCAGTCCCTCTGCTGGCAGCACTGTGGACACCTATTGTAGCCATGTGACCACTCTTTTAGAGCAGTCACATGGCCCCTAAGGGTCCTAAATGGCTGAGAGGGGCTGTCTGGGCTAAGACAGTCAGTCCCCCCCTAAGAAGAAGACCGATCTCCGGCGGGGGAACGGCGGAGGTTGGTAAGTACATGGGGAGGGAGAGAGAGGGTGGGTAGAGGTTAATTTAAAAAAAATACGTATTTAATTATTTATTTATTTTTTATATTTACTCAGTGCCTCAACCCCTCGAGATACTCAGTACAGGCAGAGCATCGGAAGCCTGCCTGAAGGCTTCCGATGCTCTGCTTCACTGCCGGGCTCGACGTGGACCAACCAGAACTGATCGCTCCATGGGGAGCGATCACCCAGTGTTCTCCGGTGGTCACCGTCAGTGAGGGGGGTATTGCAGTGATGCCTCAACATCGTGGCATCGCTGTAATACCATTAGAGCTGCTGGAAGTGATCATGATCGCTTCCAACGCTCTAATTGCCTGCGATCGTATCAGGAACGTCCGCAGTCCTTAAGGACCGTTTTTTGTTGGACGTACCTGATACGCCCATGGTCACTAAGGGGTTAAACAATCTTTTTAATAAGATATCTTTAAATGTTATGGTATATTCAATAAAAGACTGATGTTATGAGCCATCAAGCCTCAGAAATCTAGGTTTTTATAAAGGTTTCACACATTTTGGTCACTAGTGTAGATTATTAATATAATGTTAACAATTCAGAGTTCTAACTTTGGCCAGTGTTTGTGACCAAATGGCTACTAAAAAAGACTGGACATACCCCATTTGCAATACCTTGGGTTGTCTACTATTGCAAATGATATGCCATTATGGGTGTAAATTTTTTTTCTTGTCTACTATAAAGTCCCAAAGGCAACGTAACCACTCTGGCGAATTTCAATTTCAAATGTAACGTGCTATATTTGACCCTGTAACTTCCCAAAACACCATAAAACCTGTACATAGGGGGTACTGTTTTACACGTGAGACTTTGCTGAATACAAATATGTGTATTTTATTGCAGTAAAAGCAAACAGTATTATGACATTGACCGTTAAAATGTCATGTAGAGCAAAAAAAATCTTATTTTCTCCCATTTTTTTCATATTAAATTATGTTTTATAGCTAAATATTTGATATTAAATGAAAGCCCTGTTTCCCCTGAATGATATATAATAATTGTGGGTGTATTTAATATGAAAGAGGTGTATTACGGTTGGACAGACATGTAGCGCAAATGCCAGGTTTTGTTTACATTTTGTTTTGTTCACAACGTGTACATTTGGTTCCGTCCTTAAGGGGTTAAATAATAAATAGGTATATATTCCAACCATGTCCATAACATGTGAAGTATTTTGGTTAATTACATCTCCAAACTGTGCCAATTTATCACTGATGTTTTACACCAATACTGTATTCTCATGTATGAAAAAATAAATATTCTTACATGTAATTAAACTTCCTGTCAATGTATAAACAGTGAAGATAAAGAAATACTAATATTCTCAATTGTTGCTAAAAATACTATTTTTATTTTTTTTATAGTTTATATCGTAACCAGTTGCCTGAAGACATATAACATCCTATTACTGCACAAAAAATATAATATGATGATATTATTTAAATGATATATTTTTATTTTTACTTGCAAGCAAGTATGTCTTTTTATTCATTTCAGGTTTCAATAAGATGATGTAGCATTTGGGGAGATATAAACAAAATAAAAGTCCAGCACTTGAGGTCAATATGGCAAATATCTCTACAGCCACCATGTATTTCCCTTTGGTGCTCAGATAGGCTGGGATCACTGCAATCCAAACACTGCAGAATACCAGCATGCTGAAGGTGATGTATTTGGCTTCATTAAAAATATCTGGTAATTTCCTGGCTAAGAAAGCTATAATAAAACTAACAGCTGCCAGGAATCCCATATAACCCAGGACAGAATAAAAAAATATAACCGACCCTTCATTACATTGAATGATGATTTTTCCTTGGTAAGAGTAAGCGTCCAGTTCCTGAAAAGGTGGAGAAACTGTTAACCATGTTATATTAAGTATAATTTGAACTGTTGAGAGAATCAAGACTACACAATTGGCCGCTTTTGCAGAGACCCACTTTCCCCAAGTACTACCAGGTTTAGAAGCTTTGAAAGCCATGTAGATCATAACAGTCTTTCCCAAAACACAAGAGATCTCCACTGAGAAGATGATGGCAAAAGTAGATTGACGCAGCATGCAGGTTACATCCACAGGGTGCCCGATGAACAGAAACACACAAAGGAAGCTCAGCATGATGAAGACCAAAAGGATAAAGCTGAGATTTTTGTTATTTGCTTTTACAATTGCTGTGTTTCTGAATATATAAAAAATTACTAATATCACAATAATTATAAGGAAAAGAAAAACAAAGACACACAAGAAAACAGCAACAATTATGTCATTAGTATATGATAGAAATTCCACTAGTTTGGGAATACACTGGGTCTTATTCTCGTTGGGCCATTCAATGTCTCGACATTTTATGCAATTTTCACTGTCTGAAAAAAAAAGACAAAACAATTTGTTTTTATTATTTATATCCATTATTAAAGAGAATAACAAAAAAAGTAGGTCTCAGGCAGGGATTTGTTATATCCAGTTTTTTTACAGCTAAAAGCAGATGATCCTACAAACATTTTCAGAATCTGTCTATCTATCTAACTATCTATCTATTTGTCTGTCTGTGTGTGTGTTTATCTGTCTTTTTATACCCTTGACTAAATGTCCTTTCTTCTACTCTAAATGCATGACATTGAGTCCTATGTATGAATAGATCTCTAGAAAATTGTTTGTATTGGCCCTGAATATATTTGGTAGCATATATCATATAAAGCACTGTATTTCTAAACTAAACAGATTTAACATTGAGGAGGTAGTAGATGACATGAAGCAACAGAGGATATAAGCTCTGAGTGATTAAAAAACAAATATTCTAGTATTTCATAATGTATAGATCTGCTTATTCCTATATATTAATACTTTACTTTTTTTCATTCATGGGCTATTATCTGGCAGTGACCCCATCCTGCTTCTATTTTCTATCAATATTAGACTGACCTATTGTGAACAACAGTAATATTGACACTGCAGACACTCTTAAAATTAAATTAAGACACATATTGGGGTTGGGACACTTTTCTTGCCCTATGCTGCAGACTCCTAGGTTCTAGATAAAATAATAAAGATTATATCTCTTTTGATTATTAGCTTCCTTATAATTGTTCCTCAACCTATTGACTTTTTTATGACGGTATTCTATATACATATTGTTGGATATGTCATACCAGATATATTGGATATTTCTCCTTCTGGGCAATGGGAACATTCATAACAACAAGTGTGGACTCCACTCTTCTGCATTTTCCTATATCCTGGGAGACAGTTATCTGAGCACTGAGACTTTGGAACCTACACAAAACCATATTATTATTGCATAGGTTTATTCTAGATCAGATACAAAAATATAGATATTTTTTCTCAAATTGTTATTTATATTTTTTACAATAGAGATATAAACATCAGATAATTGCATAATAATAATACCAACAATAGGGGAATATTGATCATATGAGCGTTCAGTCCAAAAGAAAATACCATAAAGAAAACAAGAATATGTTCAATGCAACAGAGAGAAGGAATGGTTGACAAATATAACACCAGTATCTAGTTAAACATGTCCTTCTTCTAGTCTGGTAATTTGTTGCTCCAGGTACTGACATCAACAATAATACTCAAGTGGCAATAAGCATTCCTATTTGCTTTTATTCGCTTTTTTTTTTAACTTTGGGTGTATTGTTATTGGAGTGTTTGGATATATTTCTATGTAGTTTAATTGAGTTTACTTCTCTCTTTTTTCTGCTTGGTGAACTCTTGTAAATCTTAGCTGGTCTGTCTTTAATGTAACACCGATTTTTTCCCCACAGTAGCGTCAGTTAAGATAGTCACATTATCTCAATCAAATATACTTAATTATAGAAAACAAAGTTACTAAAGAAGTATTCAATTTATTCTTTAATATTACTCTTCCTTTAATTAACTCAGATAAATTAGCAGAATTAAATAAGGATATATCAAGTGAAGAAATCAAGACAGTTATAAAAAATGTAACTAATGGAAAAGCGCCAGGTCAAGATGGCTTTACTGCCTCTTTTTACAAAACATTTGAACCTCTTATATCCCTTCTACTATACAGATGGTTCAGTAAACTTAATGTCACAAAGACAATTTCTTCAGAGTTACTAAGTGCTATAATAACACCTATTCCTAAACCAATGAAAGATACAAATTTTATTACAAACTATCGTCCAATATCCCTTATAAACTTAGACGTAAAAATACTATAATAATCTAAAATCTTAGCCAATAGATTGAGTAAAGTCATTCCAGACTTATTAAGTAATGACCATCTGGATTTGTAAAAGGAAGATCAGGGGCCGACAATCTTTGGAAAATTGCTCATTTAAATTTAAAGAATGTTAAGGAAAACCTACCAATAGAGATGTCACGAACCGTCCGCGAACTTCTCGCGAACGGTTCGCTACGGTTCGCCACGAACCGTTCGCGGCGAACTCCGGTCAGCTGACACATCCCGGCCAATCTCCGGCAGACCCTCCCTCCCAGACCCTCCTACTTCCTGGACAGCATCCATGTTGAAGGTAGCTTCAACATGTATGCTGTCCAATTTCAGTCAGAATTCAGATGGTCCAAGCAATTCTGCAACAAACACCTTTGGAGTCCAAATTAAAATCAGTGCTTTTTGCATCTGAACCTATACTGAGTATAGCATTTGGAACAAAATAAATGCATTTGGCAGGAGATGTACATTCACAAATTACCATTCACTTGATTTTTAAAAAAATATGTTAATTTCAAGTACAATTTGCCCATTAGCCAGATGTCACATTAAAATGTAATAAATAAATAAGCCAGTAGAGGTAAATGTGACCTCCATATTACTATAAGGGATATTAAAAAACTCCCTTATACCCCAACCTGCACATGAGTTCATATCTCCTAAGTGTTCAAAACTATATTCCCAGGCAATTCCTGAGAAAGCTGAGACTTGCCTATCAGAGTGCTCTAATGTATTGGCTTACACGACAACCAATCAGAGTACTCTCATGAGAATTCAAAGTGCGGGAAAGCCTTTATAAAGACTTTTCCCACCATAAAGTTCATTCTGTGTGGACACCTTGCAGGTCAAAGATTGATCTATTTTTTGGTTGTGTCACATTTTTTTATTTGTTCATAAGATTGTTTCCAAATCAGATGTTGTTTTTATTATTTTTAATGGTTGTGTAGTGATATATAGATGGTCTTTTAAGGATGAAGAGAAGAAGATACCATCAGGCTTCTGATGGTAAGTATACTTTTTCAGTTTAAAGGTATTTGTTCCATGGCCTTCCTAACTATCTTTACATTGGAAACTAATGAACTGTGTATTTAGCATCCAATGTATAGGCTAATCTTGGCTGTCTGTGCTGCAGTCAAAGTCCTTCTTTCATAGGAGCAATATGCAATAAATAAAAATGGAAGCAGCAGACAGCAAAAAATGTAGTCTAATTATGTTTTAATCAGTCATCACAGAAAGGCAACGTTTTGATACAAAACAATGTGCCGAGGCCCAGACTGGCCATCGGTAATTGTAATTTACGACAACATGAATTCAGCAATGAATATTACATTCAAACAGGTCATGTTTTTAGTAAAATACATTCTCAGCTTCTCTCACCAGTTGGTTTTTGGTTTTCCATGTTATTTGTTTTGGGTTAATGAAAACTTTTTTACCCTCTGGTGATGTTTCTGTATAATTGCCCACTCTTTTTACATTTATTCTCCAATTAGGAAGCCTTATCCAGTTATCAATTATGTAAGTATAGCTGATTTCTCCATTTTCATCAAACGTCAGGTTCAGATTGCCAGCCCTAATTACTATATTTTTTATATAGCTAAACAGCTGTGAAGAAGAAGAGAAAATACTTGTTAAAAAAATAAATAATAATATTATCCAGTATTGCCTAAGTGTAAATTTCAGGCCTAGACCTGAATACAATATGGATAAATATGTATAACCTGTACCAACATATAAACGCTGATCAGCCACAACATTAAAACAATCTGCATAATATCAAAACAGCAATTATGCGTCAAGTCATGGACTCCACAAGATCTCTGAAAGTGTCCTATGGTATTTGTCACCAAGACATTAATATCAAACCAAGCTGTTCTTCCTTGCACCACTTTTGGTAGGTACTAACCACTGCATAACAGGAACACCCCACCAGACTTGCCATTTTGGAGATGCTCTGACCCAATCGTCTAGCCATCACTATTTTTGCCCTTGGCATATTCACTCAAATCTTTTCACTAGCTCATTTTTCCTGCTTCCAACACATGAAATTCAAAACTGATTTTTCACTTGCTGCCCAATATATCCCACCCCTTAACATGATCAAGCTTTTAATTCACTTGTCAGTGGTTTTAATGCTGTGACTGATCAGTGTATGCATGTAAATACAGTATATACAGTATATACATGTTATAGAATAAACTGATTACATTATATACTCACCTTATTTTTATAATTATAAGTTTTGATGTCTATGCCCTTGAATTTTCTTTTTAAATATGAATCCATTTGATGTAAGGCATAAAGCATGGCCTGCAATGCAAAATACACTCGAGGATAAACCCCCCGATGTGCATATTCAGCAAGATTGATGTAAGCAGGCGAACAGTTAAAAAAGGGTTTTTTATAAGCATATTTATAGAAATTGTTTCTTGATTCATCTGGTGACAAACATGAATATTCTGCTGCCATTACATCTTGTAGCAATATGTTATTTTTATAATCTTCAGGATGCAAAACACTAACCCTATCATATTGAGGTACCATTAAAGAGTAAAGGTCTATGACCAATGAACTATTTAATGCTTCAAAATAATGACCTGTTTGGTACGTGTTTGAGGCCCAGGAAGGAGTCAGAATTAATGTCTTTCCATAGAATACATTTGCTGAATAGAATAGCACTTTTAAAACATCAATATTGAATGATCCGCAAAGTATGATAATTTGTGCCGATGATGTTTGAATAATGTTTATCTTTCTTAATTCTTCATCTCTATTTGAGTGCAAAGTAAAACCAAATTTTACACTGAAAGCCACACAGATGCCATTGCTAGTTAAATACTTTATTACAGCCTGCGTCTCTGTCTCTGCCTCAATATCATTTGATGCCAGAATTCCAACCCAGGTCCAGCCAAAGTATTTCAAAATCTGGAAAATAATCTTGTGATAGATGAGGTCACTATTATGCATTCTGAAAAAATGTGGATAAAGATGCTTATTACTTAGACTGTAGTCTGTAGCTCCATAGCTGATCTAGAAAAGAACAAAATAAAGTGTACATTTTAAAAAGTACTTTCGTTGTGAAAGGAAAATTTGCCTTTAATAAACTTGTTCCCTTTGTTTAGTTTGGACAAATTTTAATATCAAACTAAATTTGAAAAGGTCAGAATAACAGCAAAAAAGAGGACTATGATTGTGCTGACATGCAAAAAAATGTCTACAATATTGCTTAGACTAATGGCAAACTGCAAATTTGAACAATCAGGATACATAGCAAGCTTCATCCACTATACTAAACATTTATTTGAAAAATTCAAACCCAGCGAACTACACTACAACACTTATGCAATATTTACATTACATACAAGCAGTCTACGCTCACCATCCTCCCTGCTTTGCCTTTGGTGGTGATGGTAGTAGCACAGGATGTTGAGTTTGTGGCAGGAGTTTGTGGTAGCACAGAATCTGAAATGGCACCAATGGAGCTGCATCCTTCCCTAATACTTTCTAGACCTGTTCCCTCCCTCAGTAATATAGACTTGTGGTGTCTTTGCAGGTATTACTTCACGCCGGCTATAGTGCGATGGCCATTCACTCACCCTCTTCTGCGCCTCACAATTTGCACTTTGCAAGTCAGTCTTCTAGTAGGCATTTAAAGTGATCCTAAACATTGCTTTGTTTGGTGTAATACAATACCCTCATCCCTTTATGATGTGTCTATTGAAGATGCAGGCAGATTGGCACTAGTGGAGGTGGAAGCTGCCACAACAATACTAGCCTGCACACTAGTACTTGGTTGCATAATGCTAATGGAACTGTTGATGGTGGTAGTACTGGTGATGTTGATTATGGTAACAGTAACAGTGGGTGAGCTACTTGTTCCAGTGGTGCCAGATAAAAAAACTTGCTCAACCAAAGCCAAAAATAAAAATTATAAACTGAGAAATCCCAAATGAAACATCTCTATACTACCCTACAAAAATTGAAGGGAAAGAAAAAAGCAACGGCAAACACCAGATGCGCAATTTGACCCCAAACACTGCAAATTTAGCTGGGGCTATTGATAGTAGAAAGCTGCATCCATCATGTCCAAGGAGGCTGATTTCTGATTCTCCTCTCAATAAGAGAAGCACCAGCTCCATCCACTGCCTGGTGTTGGAAGGGTGTTGGTGCAGAGATAATAATTTGGCTTTCCTCAACACTGCAGGAAGAGTACGTTTTTCCCTTTACTTTTTGAGGGGTAGTTAAGAGTTGTTTCATTTGATCTGCAACTACAGGAAACGTTTGGTTGAAGTTATTGCTGCCAAAGGAGGTTCAACCAGTTATTAAATCCAAGGGTTCACATACGTTTTCCACCTGCACTGTGAATGTTTACATGGTGTGTTCAATAAAAACATGGCAACATTTCATTCTTTGTGTGTTATCAGTTTAAGCAGACTGTGATTGTCTATTGTTGTGACTTGGATGATGATCAGATCACATTTTATGACCAATTTGTGCAGAAATCCATATCATTCCAAAGGGTTCACGCACTTTTTCTTGCAACCGTATTTGGTAATATTTCTGTAAAGCCCCAAAATATCCAAATGGCAGCTGCCAGATTTACTCTGATAAACTGACCTCTGATGCTCTGCCAAGCAAAATTAGCCTATATGTTCAAACAGCACTGGGTTGTACCATCCCAACATAATGAGCATAATGTTTCTATATTGGCATAATTATGTTTGATATTTTGATACCTACAATTTATATTATTGGTATTCCCTTTCAAGTAATCTATAGACAAAACCCAACTTAACTTGAATGGTGACGAGATGGAGCAGTTCTGCTAACACTTGTGCCACTATTCTCCTTTATTGTTCTTGAAAATGTGTTCTTTTAGATCAGAACGCACAATGCTTGCTCTATTTTGTCCAAAATTTAATAAAAGGTTTGGGAAAAAACCTACCAAGATCCAGGGATACCAGAAATATAAAGCAATAAAAGAAACTAGCTTATTTGGGAATTCTCCAACAATGCTGGAATATGTTACTGTGCTAGCTGGAAATACTATTAGTAGTATTACACGTGTATGCAATTAATGCAGGGTGATTAGCGATGTCTTAATGGTGTTGAGTAAATATGCTATAAAATGATTTGAGGTGACCACAGTCAGCATCTACACTAACGTCCATCAAGGGCCACTGCATTACTTGTGATGTGTATATGAGAATGTCTGAAGGACACACCTTGAATAGATGGATAACAAATAGATTATGTTAAAGTAGGATATGGGTAAACGAAATACTACTCTGAGACAGATTCATAAAAATGTAAAGAGGAATGGAGGGTTCTGAAATTAATTCAAGGTTTTGTTTACTAGAAAAAGAGATAATGAATGTCACTACCTTTTTATTAGCTAACTATATAGCATATAAAGTAAAATTAGCAGATACTAATATTTAATATTCAGTCCTTGGTACATCTCTATATTGAAAATTAATATCTTAAATCCACAAACCAATCCTTGAGCATTAACAATGAGCCTGATTTGAAATATTAATGGGTTTGCTTACATGATTTTCATCAGAAATTGTGGAATAAAGGAGATAATGCAAAAAAAAATGGGAACAGTCATTGGCATATAGTGTACTATTCCCTAACAATATGACATAAAGGAGGACATATAGTATCACTCACCTGTGAATATCCATACACCCCAAGTAACTGTGCTATGGGAATAGTTGTAGATGAATAGTGATCGCCAATAAAACCAGCCACTTTATTTCTTTTCATGCATGAATAATTGGGAAGAGTCATCCATGGTCCAGATAAAATATTTAGAACATTTTTCACAGCTTTCACTTTATTTGTGCAAGAATCGAAAAAATGGTATCCCAGAGTGACATTTTGTAGAATATTTGAATTCATGGCAATTTCTTGAAAGCCAAACATAAAATACATAAAGCTTATCAAATTTCCTATTGTTGGCCTGTAAAATAAATGTCAGTATTTTTGCTTCTAATATTTTTTAATAAATGAACATTACAATAAATAAAATGCATAAAGATATAATGAATCTGAAAAAAATAATATTTACAATACAAAATATAACACCAGAATGGATGATAATTTTGTGCAGTAATATTAATCAGATCCTCATACATACAGTTGCAAGAAAAAGTATTTGAACCCTTTGGAATGATATGGATTTCTGCACAAATTGGTCATAAAATGTGATCTGATAATCATCTAAGTCACAACAATAGACAATCACAGTCTGCTTAAACTAATAACACACAAAGAATGAAATGTTGCCATGTTTTTATTGAACACACCATGTAAACATTCACGGTGCAGGTGGAAAAAGTATGTGAACCTTGGATTTAATAACTGGTTGAACCTCTTTTGGCAGCAATAACTTCAACCAAACGTTTCCTGTAGTTGCAGATCAGACGTGCACAACGGTCAGGAGTAATTCTTGACCATTCCTCTTTACAGAACTGTTTCAGTTCAGCAATATTCTTGGGATGTCTGGTGTGAATCGCTTTCTTGAGGTCATGCCACAGCATCTCAATCGGGTTGAGGTCAGGACTCCAACTGGGCCACTTCAGAAGGTGTATTTTCTTCTGTTTAAGCCATTCTGTTGTTGATTTACTTTGGGTCATTGTCCTGTTGCAACACCCATCTTCTGTTGAGCTTCAGCTGGTAGACAGATGGCCTTAAGTTCTCCTGCAAAATGTCTTGATAAACTTGGGAATTCATTTTTCCTTTGATGATAGCAATCTGTCCAGGCCCTGACGCAGCAAAGCAGCCCCCACCATCATACTTCACAGTTGGGATGAGGTTTTGATGTTGGTGTGCTGTGCCTTTTTTTCGCCACACATTGTGTTGTGTGTTTCTTTCAAACAACTTAACTTTGGTTTAATCTGTCCACAGAATATTTTGCCAGTACTACAGTGGAATAGTGATGTTGCGAACTTTTCGCGAACGGTCAAATGAATCCATTTGAATGCTGTCCAGGAGGTGGGAGGGTCTGGGAGGGAGGGTCTGCTGCAGATTGGCCGGGATGTGTCTGCGGACTGGAGTTCGCAGCGAACGGTTCGTGGCAAACCGCGGCGAACCGTTCGCGAACCGTTCACGAAAAGTTCGCGACATCACTACCGTGGAACATCCAGGTGCTCTTGTGTAAACTGTAAACGTGCAGCAATGTTTTGTTTGGACAGCAGTGGCTTCCTCTGTGGTATCCTCCCATGAAATCCATTCTTGTTTAGTGTTTTACGTATTGTAGATTCGCTAACAGGGATGTTAGCATTTGCCAGTGACTTTTGTAAGACTTTAGCTGACACTCTAGGATTCTTCTTCACCTCATTGAGCAGTCTGTGCTGTGTTTTTGCAGTCATCTTTACAGGATGGCCACTCCTAGGGAGAGTAGCAGCAGTGCTGAACTTTCTCCATTTATAGACAATTTGTCTTACCGTGGACTGATGAACAGCAAGGCTTTTGGAGATACTTTTATAACCCTTTCCAGCTTTATGCAAGTCAACAATTCGTAATCGTAGGTCTTCTGAGAGCTCTTTTGTGCGAGGCATCATTCACATCAGGCAATGCTTCTTGTGAAAAGCAAACCCAGAACTGGTGTGTTTTTTATAGGGCAGGGTAGCTGTAACCAACACTTCCAATCTCATCTCATTGATTGGACTTCAGTTGGCTGACATCTCACTCCAATTAGCTCTTGGAGATGTCATTAGTCTAGGGGTTCACATACATTTTCCACCTGCACTGTGAATGTTTACATGGTGTGTTCAATAAAACCATGGCAACATTTCATTCTTTGTGTGTTATTAGTTTAAGCAGACTGTGATTGTCTATTGTTGTGACTTAGATGATGATCAGATCACATTTTATGACCAATTTGTGCAGAAATCCATATCATTCCAAAAGGTTCACATACTTCTTCTTGCGACTGTAGAGGATAAATACTAGTGAAGTTTCTACTATGCTAAAATAATTTCATTGAAGGGTTCTGGAGACATCATAATAGATCTTTTTGAAAAAAACAAACAAACAAAAAAACATATTATGTCTGCAGAACCCAGTATACTATTATTTCCTTTTCATGCATGCTTCAACATTAAAGATCTCTTAATCTCATGATTTTTTAACTTGATGTTTGGGCTAGGATATAGGTGTTTTTCCTATTATTAGCACTTATCTAGCACCAACAAATTCAGTTCAGCAATTGTTAATGTGGTGATTTAACAGCAAACAAAAGCAAATATAAAGAGACCAGGTAAACTAGTGTAAATATTAACAACAAGCAAGAGGTTATTGAGAAAGATCTTACATTCCAGAAGCCCTATCATCTTAGGCATGTGTATTTTTGCCTGTCCAAGATAGACTGGTGGTTCATTCCTAATTACCAGTTGCTATTTGCACCTTTAACTAATATACTCTAAGACTGATGGATCCCGTGTTACACAGTATGAGCTAAACTTTGCAATATATATAGTAAAGCCTGGCAACTAGATGATCCACTTCTGCTGGTTCAATAAACTCCGGGGCAGGTTATGCTTCCTCCTCCTCTGAAGAAGCCTTTTCTCTGTAGTCATATCCAGAACACAGTGGTAAAACCGGATATCTAGGCCTTTTGCGGGAATGTCCAGCTTCCTTAATCCCTTGTGAGACAGCCTGCTTGATGAACTGCAGAGATGGTTGAGATGGGCCTGCTGCTTTCGATATGCAGAGATGTTTCCCTTCCATTGCTCTCTGATCACAGGCCTCACACTGCGTCCTTCTGGGCAACTTCCCTTTGGACGAACCTGATGCTCTTTTCCCTGTAGAACTACCATGACAGGGGAGCATTAGTATGCACTCTTTTATTTAGGAAACAATAATTGCAACATAAGACACTAGCTTACCTATATGTCTCAGAAGCAAAAAAACAATATGTGTGTGCACAAATCACAGTGCAATAAGTGCTCGGTAAACAATTAGCAGAAAAAAACCTCCCTAAACCAGGTAGGACTTCCCCAAAGACTTCCTCTTGTCTTCAATGGAATGTATATGTCTATATGTCTTAGAGAGTGACCTTTTATTTTTTGAGTAGGATTGAGATTCCCTGGAGCAGGATCTGTCTTTTTCGATCTTTGAGAGAAATACACAATTAGAACTTCAAAATGTGAAATTCTGAAATATAGAACCAAAAGGAGCAATAAGCATTTAAAAGATCAAATCTTACCTTGAAATAAACTTGGAACTGATCACAGCAAAGTTTTTCAAATCAACACTTGGATAACAAACAGAAAGCTGCTGCAATCAGAAACTAAAGATTGGTACCAAACAATGGGAGTTGGTTCCATTAAATGGAGTCTGACGTCACTAGTGACGCCATTACAACGAAATCACATGTGCATTCAATTAGCTATTTAAAACTCACAAATGGACTCCGTTCACGGCAAAATGAGATGCTGCAAACTGCCGTGCACACGCAAGTTAAACTGCGCATTTACATAGGTTGAAACGTAAGCCCATTTGCTGCAAAATGGGGCGAAATGTGCATGCGCAAATGAAAGACCCAGTTTGCTTCGCATTCATGAGATAGGATGCTGAGACCAACTCTGCAGAGGGAGAAAACTTGTGAAAACCCACAAATTGAATGTAAATTCCACTGGTCCACCGGGGGAGTAATGAAAGAATGATAGAGGCCGAAGGATAAGACAAGGCAAAAAAAGGAAAGTAAGAAAACATACTTGCTTGAAGCTCCTCATATGCCTACTATATTGCTACCCCTTGTGTCACTGCAATTTATTTGGCCAGTCTGCAATCTTGCTACCCCTCGGGTCACATCAATTTCCAACCCACAGTCAGGGGATCACCTTTGCGGAGGGCCGTGTGCTGAAGACTTCCAAAGGGAATGAGGCTGAACTCCCAAGAGGCCAGTGGGTAACAACCCTCAAGTAAGCCAAAAGAAAAATGTAAATCTTAAATAACCCAGTATGCCCTTAGGGATAGGACAGGAACAAAAATACTGAGTAAGTAAAGGTGGGAGGGGACTTATAAACCTCTTTTTCAATTATTAATTAGGGATTGTAAGAGCTACCTATTGTTGTGCTACCGTGGATATGGCCAGGGAATGAATGAATCTATCTGTCTATCTATCTATCCATAGATAAATAGGAGCACTCAACAGGACTTCTTTGTCGATGTTTATTGTAAAAAAATTACATCAAAGTGTAAGACATCAAATCGACGTTTCGACCCCTCAGGGTCTTTTTCAAGATCTTGAAAAAAACGTCGATTTGATGTCTTACACTTTGATGTAATTTTTTTACAATAAACATCAACAAAGAAGTCCTGTTGAGTGCTCCTATTTATCTATGGGTATAATTTTTGACGCTGGAAGCACCAAAGGCAACAATCATATGAGTCTTCTGAAGGGTGAGTGCCTAAATCTGATTTTTTGTTATATATATATATATATATATATATATATATACACTCCGGTGCATTAACAGATCCCAATAGATATAGATAGCACTATAATGACTTCAGGGTAATTAAATAAAAGCTTTTATTGCTCAAAGTTTTAAAAGATCAATGTTTCAGTTTGCACTCCAAACTTTCATCAAGATGAGCTAATACAGTAAAAGATAATCTTATATACCCACCACCAAAACATTAACTTACCAATCAGTGTAAGGCTTCCTCTGGGATTGCTGGCGCTGGAAGTTGACCCCAATTGCGTCATAAAAACTGCATCTGGCGTCCTGACTTCACCAGAGGTCATCGCCTTG